GCAGCGTTGATGGAGTGTGAAAAGCTTGCCGCCATTTGACTCTGGAGCAGTGGAAGCGTGTTCTCTGGAGTGATGAATCACGCTTCACCATCTGGCAGTCCGACGGATGACTCTGGGTTTGGCAGATGCCAGGAGAATGCTACCTGCCTGAGTGCATAGTGCTAACTGTTAACTTTGGTGGAGGAGGAATAATGGTCTGCGGCTGTTTTTCATGGTTCAGGCTAGGCCCCTTAGTTCCAGTTAAGGGAAATCATAACGCTACAGCATACAATTACATTCTAGACGATTCTGTGCTTCCAACTTTGTGGCAACAGTTTGGGGAAGGCCCTTTCCTGTTTCAGCATGACAACGCCCCTGTGCACAAAGCGAGTTCCATACAGAAATGGTTTGTCGAGATCAGTGTGGAAGAACTTGACTGGCCTGCACAGAGACCTGACCTCAACCCCATTGAACACCTTTGGTATGAATTGGAACGCTGACTTGCGAGCCAGGCCTAATCGCCCAACATCAGTTCCCAACCTCACTAATGCTCATGTGGCTGAATGGAAGCAAGTCCCCACAGCAATGTTCCAACATCCAGTGGAAAGTCTTCCCAGAAGAGTGGAGGCTGTTATAGCAGCAAAGGGGGATTTTGGAATGAGATGTTCGACGAGCATGTGTCCACATACTTTTGGTCGTGAAGTACATCTAAAGAACACACAGGCTCATGTTTGAAATCAGAACCCAACACAATCTGAAGACAAAAATGTGTCAAAGGGTCGTTTTTACAGGCCAGAGAAAACATGGTTGTATCTATCTACCTCGCCAGCCACCCTGACCTCACGAGCTTACATGAATGGTACACTAGTAGCAATCAGGATGGCTCGCGAGGCTAGCATCTACTTAGATACCAGCACAGAACCACATCAACATGACTGGTGATAATGGGCTTGTTATCAATATCACTCTACGTCTATACATGATGATTCTGAATGACCAGACAACTATAAGATGTCGTGGTAATTATTCTAATCGAAGGAGAGACTTTTAGATTTCCTCAAAACAATTAATTATTATTATTATCGATTAATTACTGCAGCAATGGAGTTAGTCAGTAACCACCTTGGAGGTGATCACTGAGAACTCAGAAGAGCAGAACTGAGATTACAGCTCTTTATAGCAAAGACACATCCTTCTGAATACATGACAAACAGCAGAAGTGTGGAATGGGTCAAAACGTACATTGTGCTCTCATGCAACAGACATCATGATTTACATGGAGACAAATATCTGTTTCTAGTTCATTTACTGCATGTTTATACAGAAATACAAATATTACCTAGAACACTAAGTCATTCCCTCAAATGATTAAGTCCAGTGTTCATCTTCCATATAGGATAAATACACTGGAGATTGGGTCTCCCTGGCACAGGCACACAGACACTAATCATGGAATGGAATGTTGTCTTATCACCAAGTCATCGCAAATCAACTGTCAGCGTTTAAATCTCAGAGGCTCATCTCAGGTCCACACAGACACAGGAGAGTTCTAAAAACCCTATTATGTCACCTATCAGAAGAACAGACAGTGTGAATGTACTGATATAGGAAAACATTCTAATATAAAAGTAATGTGATTAACATAATGGTGTAATTCTATGACAAAGATCAGCACAGGGAAGAGCATGTGTGTGATTAAGATGATTAAGAAGACAAAGAACAGGTAAGTGTGTGTCACAAACAAAGCACATACAGTGAGCACCATAATTCATTGGACAGTGAATTTTTTTTTGTTATTTTGGTTCTGTACTCTAGCACGTTGAGTTTGAAAGGATACAGTGAAGTGCAGACTGTCAGCTTTAATTTGAGGGTATTTTCATACATATCGGATGAACCGTTTAGAAATGACAGCACCTTTTGTACATGGTCCCCCCATTTAAGGTACTACAAGTATTTGTTCAATTGGCATCACAGATGTGTGTCGTTAGGCAGGTGTATTCATTTGTGTCGTTAGTGAATGCAGGAGAGCTGTTGATGAATAGTATTGATTCTAGACATTGCTATTGCCTTTGGAGGTTGTTGTTGGGGTGTGACAACATGAGGAAGACAGCAGTGTCGATGCAAATGAAGCTGGCCATCATAAGGCTCAGAAATGAAAATCAATCAATCAGGAACATTGCAAAAACCCTGGCCATGCCCAAGTTAACAGTTTGGTTCATCATTAACAAGAAAAAAACAACAGGTGAACTCAATTATGTCAAAAGGCCCGGTAGACCGAGGAAGACCACTGTAGTGGATGACCGGAGAATACTCTCTATGGTGAAGAAAACCCCCCTGACAACAGCCCAACAGATCAAAAACACTCTCCTGGATGCAGGTGTAGATGTGTCAAAGTCTACCATACGTAGAAGACTACACCAGCAGGACTACAGAGGGTACACTACAAGATGCAAACCACTGATAAGCCTGAAGAACAGAAAGGCGAGATTACAGTTTGCTAAAAAGCACCTAAAAGAGCCCCAAGAGTTCTGGAAAAAAGTATTGTTGACAGATGAGACAAAGATTAACATGTACCAGAGTGATGGAAAGAGGAAAGTGTGGAGAAAAAAAAGAAATGCCCATGATCCAAAGCATACCACCTCATCCGTGAAACATGGTGGAGGGGGTGTTATGGCTTGGGCCTGTATGGCTGCCAGTGGAACAGGCTCACTTGTCTTCATCGATGATGTGACTGCAGACAGAAGTAGAACAATGAATTCTGAAGTCTACAGAAATATTTTATCTGCTCAGATAAAACCAAATGCCTCCAAACTCATTGGACGGCACTTCATCATGCAACAAGACAATGACCCTAAACATACTGTTAGAGCAACGAAGGGGTTTTTGATGGCCAAAAAGTGGAAAATCCTTGACTGGCCGAGTCAATCAACAGATCTGAATCCAATTGAACATGCATTTTACATGCTGAAGAGGAGACTGAAGGCAATAAGTCCCCGAAACAAGCAGGAACTGAAGATGGCTGCAGTACAGGCCTGGCTGAGCATAACCAGGGAAGACAGATTTCAAGCAGTCATTGCATGCAAAGGATATGCGACCAAATATTAACAATGATTACTTTATTCTGCATTATGTTAAACTGTCAATGTTTTTTGATGCCCGAAAATGTGGGGGACCATGTACAAAAGCTTCTATAATTTTTTAACGGTTCATCCAATATGTATGTAAATACCCTCAAATTAAAGCTGACAGTCTGCACTTCACCCTCATTGTCATTGTATCCTTTCAAACTCAAAGTGCTAGAGTACAGAACCAAAATAACAAAACAATGGTCACTGTACAATGAATTATGGTGCTCACTGTATGTTTGAGAGTGAACATTAGAGTAGGAGTGAAAGTCTTGGGGATAAACATGTGCAACAGTGAAACTATTAGCTCCGTCCCTGTCAGTCTAATCCCTGTCTGTCAGCAAGTAACTGCTGTGTTAAAAATGCAGAAGAGACCCAGACCACATCATCTAATTCCACTTCCCCTTAAGGGCTAATAAAACTACAGACCTGTGTTTGTGTGTATTTTATGCCAACGCGGCTCCAGATCATGTGATAGAAAGGTGTTGTCACACCAAAGATGGTGGATAAATTAAGATATCCAAAAAAGGAAGTTTACCATTTAAAAAAATGTGTCACAGTTCAGGTCCACTTAAAGGGTGGTTCTCCCATAGGCAATGCGATAGCAGCTGGGTCTGGTCTACTTAGTTAATTGATTATATATGTTCCAGAAAAAATAAACCTATGAAATGTCTCTCTTTTTCTTCCATCTCTGACATAAGCATCCCCAAGACTGCTGCCGGAAGATGGGAGATGGAGCACCTGCATCGCTTATATTTTACCACTAGATGGTGGCAGTAAGCTTAGGGATGTTTGAGTAACTATCCTGTTACTTTCAACTTCACTTTACCGTCTCTGAGTATGTTAAGCTATCAAACTTCAAACTATTCGGGTATGAGACATTTCAGTGCCCTTATTTAGAACTGGCTTGATTTGTGATTCTTAGTAAGCATGTTCAAATAGGCTTGTGTTGTTCCATTGTCTTGTGAGGTTTGGACATGAAGTTATGTGGAGTTGAAAAGCTTTTTGTGTGTGGTCCTGTGGTCCTTCTGAGAGGCCGAAGCAGTCTTGTGGTCCTTCTGAGAGGCCGAAGCTCATGATTGTTAAATTAGTTCTGTACACCAGAGGCCAGATTGTGAAGCGGGTTCTGTATTCCAGAAGCAGTTGAGGGTACATTTACATTTGACATTTTAGTCATTTAGTAGACGCTCTTATCCAGAGAGACTTACAGTTAGTGCATTCGTCTTAAGATACCTAGGTGGGACAACGGGCGTGAGATGGGGTCGGCGTGAGGAGGGGTTGCGAGGGGGGGGATGCTGTGGGATTATTTAAGATACTCTTGAAGAGGTAGGGTTTCAGATGTTTTCTGAAGATGGGCAGGGACTCTGCTGTCCTAGCTTCAGGGGGAAGCTGGTTCCACCATTGGGCTGCCAGGACAGAGAAGAGCTTGGTCTGGGCTGAGCGGAAGCTGCTCTCCCGTAGGGGTGGGAGGGCCAAGAGACCAGAGGTGGCAGAACGGAGTGCTCGGGTTGGGGTGTAGGGTTTCAGCATAGCCTGAAAGTAGGGAGGGGCAGTTCCTCTAGCTGCTCCGTAGGCAAGCACCATGGTCTTGTAGTGGATGTGAGTTTCGACTGGGAGCCATTGGAGTGTGTGGAGGAGCGGGGTGACATGGGAGAACTTGGGAAGGTTGAACACCAGGCGGGCTGA